ACGATCCAGAGTGGGATTTTTGATTGATATGTTTACTCAGAGATGGTAAAGGCATGTCAGGAGAAGGCAGCAGGTTATATTTAAAGGTATAGACTGCTCAGTGACATTTGATAAACTGGAAATTTCAAGTTTATATGTAATGTCCTCAGTTATTTTAGGGCTTGTTAATATCAGATCTGTGCACGATACGCTTTTGATGTCATGCGTTTTGTTTTTCATATTGTGAAACATCCTGTAAGTGAAATTAAAGTATACTAACTTTATTTTTTATTTAAAGGTTGTATGAAAATACTCAGCAGTTAAATATAGGTTAGTCCAGGTTAAGCAGGTTTAAGCAGGTTAATTTGCATTACTGTGGTGAATGGATGATGTTGCACTGGTGCAGAGTGGCTGTGATGTTCATGGTCAGTGTTAGATTACATAAAGGGTAGCAGACATAAATTTGAATTTAAAATGATGAAGCTGATTAGAGTTGCTCACAGAATTGTGTCTGTATTTTCAGCTTTATAGTGTCTAAGGGATTCTTTCCCCCCATGCTGCACCACTAGGATTCCCCTGCCTATCAAATCCCACTTTAACCTCACTTTTCTCTTTAGTCACCTATCCATCATGCAGACCGGTGCCTTTAAAAAAATGTCCTTTGTTTTTCTCTGCTTGCATCCTGCACAAGCTTCAGGCTGTGTGGATTTATAAGAATGAGAATTTAGGTTGAAACAAACTGTGTATTCTCTCCCATTAATATTATTTTATTAGTATATTAGTATAACATGAGATTCAGATGGCTTGAAAATGCCCTCAAAGAGCTACTTTTTACTTCAAGTACATTTCAGAGCCTGTACTTTTACACTTTTAGTTTGAGTAAAAAGTGTTTTTTGACACAACTATCTGAGCTTCTGCTTAAGTGAAGAATGTCTGTACTTATATTACCTCTGACATATACACACACAAACATCAGCTGTTGAAATAATGGCTACATAACCATGGTAACTAATATACATACTAGGTCCTCTATAATCAGCCACTTAACTTCTAATATCATGATGCCGTCCCACAGAGTAAAGAACATGTTGCTGAAATCAAACTGCGTGTTGGAGGCCTTCGGCAATGCCAAAACCAACCGTAATGACAACTCCAGCCGCTTTGGCAAATACATGGACATTAATTTTGACTTCAAGGGGGATCCCATCGGAGGCCATATTAACAACTACCTGCTGGAGAAGGTATGCATTGCATTTGGTAAAGACTTTGTTTGATTAGTGCATGACGATCCTAAAATATTTTAAGTACATGTGCAAAAGTTTTCAGCATTAAAATGAAGGTGCCTGGAGTTTGTTACAGTAGTTGCCGAGCACGTTGTTCCAAGCGGGCGGTCTCTGTCTGTTCTTTCTGTTTGTGTAATTCCAGAGTGACTGCCTGACATCCTAACCCTACCATATTATTTTTATATGTTTATAAAGCAAAATCATGTAGTGATAGTTACAGATTTTGTTTTTTCTTGGTTGACAAGGCTTCGAGCATTATGTGACACACGTTTTGTTCATTTTCCAAACAGTCCAGGGTGATTTTCCAGCAGGAAGGCGAGAGGAGCTTTCATTCGTTCTACCAGGTAAATATGTGCGCACCTGTGTTTATTTGCATGTAATCATTAAGGTTGTTTGTTAAAGGTTCCCTGTGCATGCACATATGGATTCACATGAATGCAAATGCAGCGGTGTCTCATTAATTCAGTGATCAACAGTGGGCAGTAGTGCAACAATAAACACTACTGAGTGCAATCAAAGTAAACTGCAACCTAGTAAACACTGATGAAAACAGTCTGTAAACAGGTTAGCTGGACCTTGAAGACAGACAACACATTTTGGCAGGGAAATCTGGATGAAAACACAATTTTATTTTATTTTTAGAAAAGCTCCACAGGGTCCCCTTTTTAATATGCAAAATACAGACTCAGCAGCAGGATTCTGAATCCCTGCAGCATTTCTGAGTCAAAAGACCTTTTGTTTCCAAATGTGGGAGGATAGTGAGTTGAGGTTGTTTGATGTTGAACTTATTTGTTTATTTATTAGGAACTCCCATTGGCTGTAACACAGAGCACAGCTACTCTTCCTGGAGTCCATTTAAAAAATATACATGAACATGTTTCAAAACAACACTAATATTCCGCTAATATCAAAGAGCATAGAAACAATAGTGACAATCTGTGTTGGTAAAGAAATCCAGGTAAAGAAATTCCGGAAATTAAATAGTTGCAGTACTCATTGAGATAAACTCCACAACCGTTGCCGTAGAAACTTGTCAAATGAAACTCTTTCTTTGTTTGATGTTTGGCAATCTGTTTCAGATACTCAAACACTTTTCTTATCACAAAACAAATGTGGCCTAGATTTCATGATACCTTTGTGCATATATAACAAAAGCTGTGCCTTTAAGTTATCGGTAAGCCCAGATAATTGTTTATGCATCTCGTGCAAATTGGTAGGAGCACTGCAGAACTAGTCCGGCTGCCCTGTTTTGCACTCTAGGTTGTTTTATATGTTTTTGTTTGTTTGTTTGTTTGTTTGTTTATTGCTTGCTGAGCATGAGGAGCATACTAATAGGTCTGCTATTTGAACCAGAAAAGCAAACATTTTTAGTTAAGGGTATCATTTAGACAACTTCCTGAACTCTGGAAAAATTCCACGGAGTAAACATCTTTTCTTTTTCTTTTTACTTTTCCTAAATGGCTTAACTTAAGATTGGCATGCTAATGGCTCAGGCTGCAGCATATTTTTGTTCAATATGAGTAAACATGTCCAAAGTTTCAGTCAACAGCATTAAAAACAACAAAGTATTTTCTTTGTTATCCTTCACTAGCTACTCAGAGGAGCTCCAGATTCCCTTTTACGCTCGCTTCACATCCAGAAGGACCCAAAAGCATACAATTTCATCAAAGTTGGAGGCCAGCTTAAGGTAATCTAAGCAATTTATATACATTGCAATTCACATATGAACTTTGTTGTGGTTCTGTTTTTAAAAAATGTAACTATTAAGATGTGTTTATAGAACTGGCAACGCATGAAAACCCCTAAAAGAATGTCAGCGTGACAGTAAGTTTGTTTGCACTGGGATAAATACAATCAAGCACACGATTTACAGATGTGTCTGTCCTGACCACAGTTTATAGGCTTTTTTGAAACAAACCACGCAACTCCCATATTTGGAGCACAAGTGGAAAAAATAATTTCATTGATTAACAATTCAAAGTCACGGTGCATTAAATTCACTGTGGTCTCTTGAGATATGTTTTAATTCAGACTTCTGCTGTGTGTTGCCGTCTTTGCCTGAGCTTAATGAGTAGGAACAAAACCACTTGACAGCAACAAATTGCCTGACGTCATGGAACAAAACACCACCACACAGCCGAGGTGGCGGTTTGTACACAGTTCGCCTCAGCGACTCCTGTTTTTATAGGAAAGCATCTCAGCTAAGAGCTGGTTTGTTATTTAATTAACACGTGATATCCTGACTCGATTGATTAGAAGAGAAAGGAGAAAGCACAAAGACTAAACAAAAAAACATTGTAAACTGTAACATTGTATACTAACATCTGTATTTGTTCCATTGAACCATTAAGGGGGATAAATGTTGAAAAGATGTTAGGCTTTGCTGATTGTTTCCTGTTTCCTTCCAGTTATTTGTTTTGATCCGCTTTCAGTGTCTCTCCTTCTTCTCTCCAGTCTTGCATCAACGATGGTGCTGATTTCAAAGCTGTAGCTGATGCCATGAAAGTGATCGGTTTCACAGGGGATGAGATTCAGACTGTTTACAAGATCCTGGCAACCATCCTGCATCTGGTAATGCCCAGTAATACGACAACTCTGCTTATTTCTTTCGCCAGCTGTGTCCCAGTGTATGTCTGTGAAGGTTCTCAGTCATCCAGGTCATGGAAACTTCTCTTAGAACTGAAGAAGCTTCTTGGATGAGAGGTGAAGCATCTTCAAGAAACTTAAAGAAGTCCACTCACTTTAATTTCCAAGCTCCTTAGATGTCCCAGAGTACAAACTCTTATTACTTTTATTATTACTTGGGATAAATCAGAAGAATTATTAAATGTCCAGCCCCAATACTAAAGCGACGCACCTAATATTGGCCTCTGGGGTTGGTAGGAGGTTGCCTGGGTCCTGCGGATCTTGCAGGTGCTCCATCAGATTGGGATCTGTGGAGTTTTGGAGGATGGGTCAAGACTTAGGACCTTTATGGTGTTCCTAAATAAAATCTCTAGTGTAGTGGGGTGCATTGTACTGCTGTGGGAGGCCAGTCCAGTCAGGGAGAGGTTCCTTAAGGCTAGATCAGTGTTCAAGTGGGTGGTATGTGAGTTAGACGTGAATACACGGAGCCAAGAATTCCCCTGAAGATTGATAAGGAACGAGACGATGAGTTATTCAGTGCACCTGACAGTGGTTTTGTTGATGTGGCTGATTTGTGTGGGGTGAATGAGAATTTTTATTTATTTTTGTTACTGTATATAGTGTTTGTCGCATAATCAGATCGTATTTACACTTTTAAAATGTTGTTTATGCTTTGTTTTATGATTTTTATGTCTGTTTATTCAAAGCAAATTCCTGAAAATGATTTCAGTTTAGTGGTCGTTAAAAGACGAGCACCACAACGTTATTAAAGTTTAGTTGCGTTAAGCAGAATATGTTCCTCATTTAAGTTAAATTTCTCACGTAGCGTAGACGTTTTACTTTAGTATTTCATGCCATAAATACTAAGCCATTGTCTTTGTTCTATATTTTAGGGAAATTTGACATTTGGAGTGGACGGTGATGTGACCCTGATAGAGAACACAAAGCTGGTGTCTGTGATCAGGGAGCTGCTGTCCACCAAGGAGGAAAACGTGGAGAAGGCGTTGCTTTATCGCACGGTAGCCACGGGACGGGATGTCATTGAAAAACAGCACACAACACAAGAGGCCAACTACGGGCGGGACGCGCTAGCCAAGGTTATTGCTGTGAATACTCGATATGTTCACGGTGGCCTGTGGGCCAGCACCTGTAGGGCTGTGATATTTTGCTCAGTGCTTGGTGATATTTCTACTGCTGTTCACACTGATTCACACTTGCATGAGTCACAGTGTTATGACTCGAGACAGAGGCTGGAAACTGTGGAGGATATAATGTATGTGGGCAATTGCAGGACCAGCACTGTGGGTTGTGACTCATATATTTTGACATTTAACTTCTCTAACTGTTAATTGCACACTGGGTGATCTTGTGCCCATGAGCAAGGCACTTGCTCACCAGCAAGCTGCCAAGGAGTCCAAAACAAACAATTCACGCTGCGATTTTGTCGTCCACAGGCCATGTATGAGCGCTTGTTCTGCTGGATTGTGAGTCGCATTAATGACATCATTGAGGTGAGGAACTATGACGCCAAAATCCACGGGAAAAACACTGTCATCGGGGTTCTGGACATCTATGGATTTGAGATTTTCCAGAACAACAGGTCTGTATAAGAAAGAATAATTAAATAAAATATTTTTAAAAAAGGAGAATTTCCAATACATTTGTCTTTGTATCTTGTTATAAAACACATTGCATTTAATGTTACTATTCTTTATGCTGCAGCTTTGAACAGTTCTGTATCAACTACTGTAATGAAAAGCTGCAGCAGCTCTTCATCCAGCTGGTGCTAAAGCAGGAACAGGAGGAGTATCAGAGGGAAGGCATCCCCTGGAAACACGTAAGAAGAAAATACTCTAACTTTTCAGTGATCATTAACATGTTTTATCAAGAAGTTTTCATTTAAGATCCTTTCGGTATTTAATTTGCCTGCTTGTATATTTTCGTTTCGTCATGGTTACTTTTACTCCTTTGTTTCCTTTATTAGATTGATTACTTCAATAACCAGATCATTGTTGACCTGGTGGAACAGCAGCATAAGGGCATCTTTGCTGTGCTGGATGAAGCCTGTATGAATGTGGGCAAAGTCACTGATGAGGTTTTTCTGCAAGGACTCAATACGAAGCTGGCCAAGCATGCCCACTACACCAGCCGCAAGGTAGGGAAAATGAAGTGCGCGCTGTGCTGTCTCCATCTTCTTCTTTTTTTGAACTCAGCAGCTTCTTCTCCTTTAAATGGGTCAGAAGTCTGATTGCTGTCTGGCTTTCAGTAACCCAAATATGTTTTAGACTGTGATTTCAGCAACTTTCTGACATTTTATGGACAAATATTAAACAAAATAGCACATTAATCAATCTAAAAACACATGATGGCTGTAATTTTCATCTCAATCCAGAGCAATATCTACAGGGAATATTTCTGCAGCACAGTTTAATCAAATATTTTTTTCATAATTTCCTGCTATCCCCTAGATCCAAAACTACACGCTTTTCAGCAAACTTTGATGTAAAAAAATCAAGGCTGTTTGCTTCTAATGAGGCATTGTGTGGCTATAGTAACCTGAGAACAGCAGAGGGCAGATTACACTGTGCAGTAGCGATTAGTGCTTGGGGAAAGAGACTGAACATGATCCCGTTAGCTTTAATAATCAGCCAGGCTTACAGTGTAATTCACTCTAATGGTCTGTGCAGACCATTAGACTAAACATAAGCCAATTTAATTTGCAAACATCCTTTGCTTTCTCCGGGAGATCAGATGGCTTACAATGAGGTTAAGGTGACTTGCCGTCATAGATCTGGTTTGCGTGTATGTAGCTTTTTCTAGTGCTGTTTAACATGTAAAAGGTTGTCTGGAGCAGCTGATGATCAGTGTTCAAATCCAGGAGGTGTTTTTATTTTTAGGGCTGCAGTTTTCTGTGTGGACACAAGGGGGCATCAGCTGTCAGTGAAAGAGCTTCTTGGAGTCTGACTCAACACTTTGCACAAGTGATGTCACTGGCAGCCAATGAGAGTTTGTGGAGCTGGTGCTTTGCTGTGTTGGTATAAGTAGTGGAGAATGCGTATTTACAAATGCATGAGGGGAGCCATGCAGAGAAAAAGAGAGGAAGAAAAGGAGAGAGGAGGGAGAGGGTGATAGAGTGAAAATGAATGATGACAGGTGGTAGGTAAACATCTCTGTATATTTCTGGGCAGCGTACTGTGGATCAAAATACTTAAAGCAACAGGCTACAAAGTAAGTCACTGTGTCAAAACTGTTGAAAGGCTGCATAGTCCCATGTGATGTGAAGAAAGAATGGTGAACGGTAGGCAGTGAACCCTGCAGTTGCTGTTATAGTTCAAAGTGAATGAAGTGCACTGTGACATAGAAACTGTGAATAAAGCCAGGATGAGTCAAGATCAGGTAAAGATTGTACTGTGGGGTGTATTCCTCTTACCCTCTTATCATCTTGGAGTCAGTATTCCCCTCGCCATCACTCTTCTGCTACACTCCGACCTCCTCCTGCTGCTGGTAGCAGACTTCTGACTTTGAAAGGCATGTGAAGTGGTGGGTTTGAATGTAAAGTGATCCAGCTGCTACTTCCTGGAACCAATATTGGCATGAATAAATATTATCCAGAGACTTTCCTCCTGCAGTGTCTGGACTACTGTACAATGTGGAGGCTGTTAATGTTGCCAGGCAGTATTGCCATAATGAGTGAATTGTAGGGGCCTTTAGTCGATCTCTGGGGCATTTTGGGGGGAATAAACGGTGCGTATTACCATTTAGATTAACATTTTTTCAAAAGTTAATTTGTCCAGACCCCACAAGAGATGAGCTTTCCAAGTAACACTGAATGCAGAGAAGATGATCTTTGAATGAATGATCTGAAACAAAAAAAAACAGCAGTTAAATTAAATGTTCTGCTTATTGCAAGAGCATGAAAGTGGATGAACTGAAGTGTAGCTCGTGTCTTCTCCTTTTTACCTCTTAGCTGTAAAAGGCTGATGGAGTATTGTGGCAGCGTGAACGCGGTAACTCGAGAACGAGGCAGCATAGATTTTGAAATTCATACTGTAGGTGTACCTACGAAAAATCTCAGAGAAGTTCAAATCTCACTCACCTTGACCTCAAGATCAGAGGTCATGTTTTTTGGGAATCTTGTGAATGCAATAACTTGAAAACAAAACAATGTGGTATTTTCAAATTGATACCATAGCTATATGTACTGGGAGGCTGAGAGGTAACACCAGCAGCCGCCAGTATTTTTAACATATAAGTAAAAACACTGCTGTTATATGCACCCCTTCACAATATAATTGTAAGCAGCACCCTCAAGTGTATTTCTACAGCTTTTCAGCTGTCCTCAGTTAAAGTTTGATGTACCCTATAGAAAAACAGCAAAAGAACAACAATAATGACATGGAAACAAGTGTAAAAGTGCTTTTTGTTTATAACATATTTAAAGCTTCAAGTCTGTCTGATCCAGTCTGTTGTCATACTGTATATATTTTTCGTTTTTTTGCCTGGGGGCTCGCAGTGCTTTCCCCAGTACTGAATGAAACAGCAGCAAAGAGACAGACAGGACATCTCACTGCATTCAGTCTTATTTGCTTTTTGTGACAGCCAGGTAAAGTTTTTGACCCAAAAGAAGGAGAAAGCTACATGCATGATATGTGCAGAATGTAGCTTTTTTTTTTTAATGGGTTATTCCTCACTTTTTAGAATTGTTCACAAATTATGTACGTCTTGCAGACCTGTGGTCTTATTGAGTCTATGTTTTATGCCAATGTAGTACTGAAACTAAAATAGGAGACTTGGAAAAGGAAAACATGCACATCAAGAGAAAATGCCACTTTGCCATATGAAGGATGAAAAACGCAGATCATCATTCTGGTGTTGGCCTGATGTGTCCTGTTCTGAATGTCTGTAAAGGTTCTAAGTCATCCAGGTCATCGTAGACTAAGGAGCTTGGACGCTCCAGATGCTTTTCTTTCCAAGCTCCTTAGACTTAAGTTCTGAATGTTTTTCTCTGTTATTTGTTTATTTATGCAGTGCAGACATCAGAGTAATGTTGCATGAACCTGATCTTTACACAAGAATTTTATAACTGTTACACTGAATGTTTGTCCTATTTGGCCGCTCTATGGATTATTTAAATAACGTAGACTGTGTTAGAGTCTAGGGTTGCCACCGTCATCATGCCTAGGCATCTTTATTTATATTGCACTGTTAGTGTTAAATTATTTTTTTTATAACTATACATATATTCTATTTATGGAACTGTTTTTTTGGTGTTTGAGGAATGTAAAATGGATTTATGGCTTTGTATAGATATGCTTTTTTGTTTTGTTTATTAGCCAAAGCTTTATCTTATGTTTAGAACGCACTCTACTTGCCTCAATAGATCTGTGTTACTGAAAATCAGTAGATAAAAACAAATAGAGATAGATGTTATTTACCATGCCAAATCATTTTAGAGTTCCTCTTTAAAATGATGACACTCAGTGACCTTGAAGTGAAGTTTTAATTGAAGTGGAGGCTTCATGTCTAGTTTGGTACTGACTGATGTTGGAGCTGGTGGGTGGCTGGATACACACGCTTAAACCTAAAGTGTTAAATACCTGTATTATTGAAAAAACGCTGACAAATTTGCTCACAGTCTTTGGTCACGTGTTGTCTTGGCAGTTAAGGAGCTGTGATATGCAAACTGCTGTACATTTTACTCCACACATGGAGTGTCACATGACAAGCCCACAGTTGTTTTTCTGGAAACTTATAAAGTAAAAAACCCAAAAAACTAACCCATGAGAATTTTGTTAGTATGTCTGTGTTATCCGTCAGGTATGGAATGGATTTGGAATTTCTTGGTCATAAAAAATGAAGCATTTTAGAAGTTAAATAGTGTTGTCATTGCTGACACAGGGTCACTGAAAAAAACAGAGCCAGCAAGAGAGAAACTGTATATTACTGTGACCTCAAAACAGACACCCTAACCTACATTCATACTCAAATTAGCTTTTGGGAAAGTTTTAAAATGTTCAAGGCTTTGAGCATTCAAGGAGAACACGAGCTCTGCAGCCTTGAAAGACTAACAGAAGCACTCTCACCTCATAGCTCAGAGCTCCTCAAGTTGGCAGGATGAAAGTGTGAAGATGTAGGGAGACCGAGAGAAGAGGAAAGGGAAAGTGAGGTGCAATGTGAGAGACTGGGAGTTGTTATGTGAGGGGAAGTGAGATGTGCACATTCCGCGAGAGAAATGAAAGGGGTGAAGCACAGTTTTATGAAAACAAGAGCTAGGTATTATTGTATTCTTTCCCTCTCCCATCAAAATAGATTCCATGAGCACATAGATGTTTCCAACAAAGTAATAACACTAGATAACCTACCCATCGATAAAAGACAAGGAAAATCAGACATCTGAGTAAGAAAAGAACCAGATAAATATCAAAATGGCTTAAAGGTTGCGCAAAAGAAAGAGAACATCGCTTTCAACCAAGCTGCAGCTTCCAGAGTTGAAAAATGAAACCAGCACCCAGACTGCAGTTCCTTTAATGATATTCAATATAATCATCTGATATGTAATGTGACAGGCAGTAAAGCCTGTTGCTAGCCTTAGCCAATCGTTTAGGGTGGAGCCCTAAATGATCTAAATATGGTAGCTCTAAATGAACCAAAGGTCCAGACGGTGATGGCCAGTGTGCTGCAGTCAAGGCTTCAAAGCCAGAATTCACAAATCAATGAACATCACCTCATTGGCTAAGTATGTCTGTGATCTTTATAGTTATTTGGCGGCTTGAGAAAAAACTAAAGAATAATATTTGTGAGTAGTTACCGGATGTGTAAAAATAAGCGATTGCGTTTGCCTCTATTCAAAATGAAGATGTCATCTGTTGCTTTGTAAAGAAAAGCCAGGTCCAAGGTCAATTGAGCAACTCTGTTTTCCATGCGAAGGATATGAATGTATTTGTGTGTTATATAACTGCAACACCACAAGGGATTTGAACTTATTTAAACTGCACTCATCATGCAGTTAAAGTGTGGGCTTTCAGCTTTAATTCAAGGCCATGTTCAAAAGTAAGTAAACCTACATACAGTAATTTTGAGTTTAAGCTTATTTGTATGACTTTAAATGCTGAACCTTTGCTATCAATGAACACACAGACATCAGCAGATGCTGGA